GTTCGGCATATGTCTCTTCAAGCTTTTCAATCAGCGGTTCGATGACCTGCGGATGCACACTGCTAGCTTCGGCTAGTGATCGAGCTGCAGCTCGTCGCAATTGACCGTCCTTACTGGACAGGTAGGGCAACATCTCGAAAGCTAGCTTCTCTGACACCTCGAAGCCTTCCGTCCAAATCTCTCTACCAAGCTCAGAGTTCTCTTCGACGTCATCATGGCAAGCAAGCCAGATCTCTGTCGAAAAGACCGCTTCACTCATGTCAACCTCAGCGCTGATTGACTGGAGAACGGTGGATCTCACAGAGACCTGTGGAACCAAGGAGCCACGAGCCAGTACTCCGATCTCTTCTGAAGTGATGTTCGGAGCTATACAGCGACAAGCGTCGGCGAAGCAATCCTTGATGATCTTGAAGTGTTGAGTGTACTGCTGCATTGCAGTGACCAAGACGGACAGCACTTGGCCTCGTGGTGTTGTCTGATCTTCGCATACGTTTGTGTGGAAGCTAAGGAATTCGATTGCAAGGACAAGCTGGGTATCGCGATCATCAGGCGTCGACCCAAGACCACCACTCTCGAGAATAAAAAAGATGAGAGGGAGAGTGTAGGTAAGAGAGATGGGATCGAAAGGGCGCTGCTCGCCAGAAAATCGAAGACGATATAACACTCGTGTTACGAGCTCTTCAACTGGCTCTTGCATCTGGCTCTCGGGCAGGGATGTTACGCCCCGTGCACGAAGTGTAGCTACGCCAACAAAAGGCCTGAAAGGACCCAATCTGCTCGAGATCTTCTCAGAGCAGGCGAGATAAGCAGTAGATGCGGCTTCGCCGGTCAACATGCTGGCTCCAGCGTCAATCACGCCGAGTAGGGCCATGATCACAGGGCCCATCCACAGGGCTGCCTCTGTGGGAGGGCCCGAGGCAAGGCTCTGAATGATACCGATGCCCCTGAACAGCCTGGCTTCGAGCAGACGTATAGAGTGCCGGATGGCAGATTCTTTCTTCAGTTGGGCGTTGACGCGTGCCGTTTCCTCGGCGGTAAGCTTCTTCTGCTGCCCCTTTTTCTGTGCCAACGACGAGCGAAGCTCAGCCTCCCATTTGAGGATATCGTAGTCCTTGTTGTTTTTGTCCGGGACGGTGTCTTGTGCTTTTTTGGCCAGCACGTCCACGAATGCCGTGCCCTCTGGTGTTCTGTAGATTGCAGCCTCCAGAGGTCCAATTTTCTTCAACTCCTCAACCGCAAGGTCCTGCTCGATAAGTTCAACAATGCGAGGCGTCATAGTCTCGGGTGCAACAAAGGCGAGCTCGGCGGCAGCATTGCACGCAGCCTTTTTGACCAACGCAGAACTTTGTTCTGCACCCGATTTGTTGCGGATCTCGTCGAGTAGATCGGCTTCGTACCGACGAGCCAGGTCACCAGGGTCTTTCTCTACGCGCAGACAGAGATCGATCCAGTTCGACCTTGGCAGAAGCTCTGGCCGTGCGAGCACAAATAGAGCACAAAGCTGGCGCTCTAGATGCTGCTCTTCAGGTACTATTTCTCGCTCTTGCCAGTCTTTTGGAGACAGGCAAATGGCCCTGACCACGAGGTGAAGGCTGTTTCGCTCTGTTCGAGCTAACACAGCCGCAGTATCCTTTTCACCCGCATCTAACGCCTCGAGCCAGTGCCAGATGGCACCCACGATTGCTGTGGAAATCAACGTTGGTTGAGCGGCGTATAGGCTTGATAGGCTATCAAGGGCCAATTGTCGAATCTTGGGCGTGACAGCCGAGGCACAAATCAGGTAGATATAGGCTTCCGACCAAGCAGTTTTGACATCGCTAGGGGTAGCAACGGTGAGGCCAGATGCGGCTGATGCAAGAGCGCGGGACATCCAAGTGAGCTCGTCCTCTGTAGCGATTTTTCCATAGACGCGAGGGTTGAGTAGGAAGGAAGGTTTCGGATCCAAAGTCATAGCCTGCTTGAGGATCGATGCCCTGGGGGTAGGCAGCTTGACGGCTCCAAAAAGCTTGCTACCAGAGGCAGAGCACAGGAGAGCCACGACGACGTAAGCGCCAATGGTGGCGTTGTTTTGGGCAGCCAACTGTGGGTTCGCAACAACTTCATTGTGTGCATCCACGAGCTTTGGTAAGATGCCTTCGGCGAATTTGAGGGTGGAAGACGATGTTGACTGGACTTTGGTTATGTCTCCAATAACCTCTCCAGCGCGGAGGATCCAGATCCTCCGAAGCGCAGGTTTCTTGTCTGCCGCACCCTTGATAAAGGCGTCTAGGACGGGCTTGGGCACGTCGAGATCCGACTGTAGAAGATGTGAGGTTGATCTGGCCAAGGCCGCAGTTTCTGCTGCTACGGCTGCCTCATTTCCTTCCTTCGCAGTCACCGTTGCGAGGGCCGTGGCAATCTTCCCAGCAACCGTGTCAGATTGCGGGAGGGCCAAGAGCATCTCGCAGTGAAGAATCCTGTGATCTGCAGACGCCAGCTTTCCCCCCTTCAAGGGAGTAACGACCTCATCACAGGCCTTTTCCAGGGCCTTGTCATCGTGGCTCCTGGATGCAATCAGGTCGAAGGCGGCGACAGTGCTTGACCTGATAGCAGGGTTGCTAGATTTGACATTGGCCAAGATGGGTTTGAGCAAACGCTCGCTTAGGATTTGTGAAAGATCATGGGAAGGCGGGAGAGAGCGGACGAGAGGAGCGAGGACCTCCAAAACAATCTCAGGGGCTCTCAGCAGACCCTTCTCGATAGTTGGGATGACGTCTTTGGTGAGCTCGTCCAATGTGACAAAATCGGAGAAGAAGTCACGCAAACCAGCAGCGACATGATCAGGCACGGCGACACGAGAGCCCACAACCTCTCTGGTGTAGAAGGCGAAGTAGGACGCCTTCAGAGTCTCCAAGACTGCGCCAGCGTCAGGCTTGCGAGAGGCGACCCCAGCGATAACACCGAGAAGGATAGCGTTCTTGGCGGTAGGCTGCGCAGCCTTGGCCGTGAGAAGTTCGACAGCCTCCTTCACGGTCTTCTCCAAGTCGGCGGTAGGGGCGAACAGCTTTCGCAAACCTCTCCGGGTCACGACAATGGCGGCGCGGGCAACAGTGCCTCTTCCTGCGGGTTGCTGGCATTTTTCGAGCGAGTCGGCATTGGCAAGCAGTATTTGAGGAGCAACCTGATGCCAAGATGGCGTGCCTGACAGTTCTTGCATGAAGATGCTGCACCATTCGACAAGCACGAAAGCGCTGGTTATGGCAATGCCAGGCTTTACAGATTCGGCCCGCAGAATGGAGGCAAGTTTGGCTAGCAATTCGGGTTCCAGGCCGCTAGCCAGCAGGGCAGACAAGCATTTTTGCGCACCAAGACGGGACTGGCGGTCGACGTAAAAGGCATGTGTCCAGAACAGGAGCTGAAGAAGCTTGGGAACGAGGGACAGGTCGAACTCTGCGAGGCACAGGTCAGGTCGAGGCTACGGAATCGCAACGAGGTCGATCGGTGGGCATTGTGGCAGGACGTACTCTTTTGGGTTATGCGTTCTTGTAGTGCGCGCAGCTGATCGACTCTGACCCTGGTGGAAGAGGAGGTCAGAGCTCCTTTGAGAGCCACGAAGTCGACATTGGCAGAGCCAGAATCAGCGCCGTTGGCGACAGGTTCGGCTGCGACTTCGTTCATTGCGACGGCGTGTGAGATGGGACACAAGAGACGTCGGTCATCTGTGGCCGGCGCTTCAGTTGTCCTATTGCGCCAGGGACAGAGACAAAGGCGGTTGGTGGGGTTTGAGGTGAGTTCGGTAGGGGCGTGTATGCTGGTGGGCTAATGGCAGAAGTCGAGTGTTCGAAATTCCAGCGATTATCAAAACCACTGCACACAAATGGAGCGAGTACACCTCGCCCAAGCCTAGGTACCTTGTTGCTACAAACTGCCTAGCCTAGGCAGTTTAGGATTGGCTTGCCAGGGCGCAAATGGTGGGGTACAGCTTCGGCCAGCTCAAAGGAGCAGGCGGTCAGGATCTGGGACTTCGTTGGGAGTGCCCGCATTATACTGTACGGGGAAGGACAGGTCAGCTCAGGAGGCCATTGGGAAGGCGGTTCGAGCCTGCCACCTAGGAAGGCTCGCAACTGCCTTGGGACCAAAATCCAAGCCCCCTTCCACACCCGCCAGGTACCTATCGTCCCATACGCAGCGAGGTAGGTACACGCAGGGTTCAACACTCAGACTTGGGGTTCTTGCTCTTGCACACTAGATTAATTCGTTTCTCATAAGCGACTCAGACAAGCCGCACACAACTGGCCTCGAGACCATGTGCTCCATGACTGGTCCTTTGCGTTGAAGTGATGCTCATATCACTAGTCACAATTATGGGAACTCGGGTTTGACAACGCACAGCATTTCCATCTCGTGGCAGTGGACGTCTTTATCAGTGTAGCGTGCGTACCCAGGTAGCGTCATGGATGCCCACATTTACATACTGCTGCCCCACGTACCAACCCTCTTAGCGGGCTGTTGCGGGCAGGCAGGGAGGGAGGCACAAACGGGTAAGGGCAATCGGGCAACATCTCACCTCACAGTCTCATCGTCAAGCAGCACGATCTTCTTGTACCAATCACGCACAACTCGCGAGCTACCCCGTCCAGAATCTCAGCGCTCTGTAGGGTCTACCTCGCACTCATCCATCACAGAAAGATTCCTGTCGCAGGGTCTGCTGTTAGCCCCCTCGAAAGTTTCTCATCCTTCTTTGACGGCTGTTCTGAGGAATTTGGAACTCACATGATGGCCAACTTGTCCCTGATGGAGACACTGTCCTAAGAATCAAGTTTCCATTGCAAAACACCCCCTTCTTGCTTATTTTTCAGTTCATCCCAGCTTTTTTCTTTCTTGGTCTCAGACCGTAACTAGACTCTTCACTTGGGGCGTTAGCGGCGACAGTACCACCTGCAGCAGCAACAGCGAGCATCGTCGCTTGTCACATCCCAACTCTTGATCAAACTCGGACCACACACAAGGACATCAGCATCATGGCCAAGAAGAAGAAGCCCGCCAACAACCCCGCACGCGGCTTTGCGACGACATCCGTCGCCTCGAAACCCAGGCCAGAAGTCCTCGAAGGTGCTGAGATCGCGCCTGATGTTGCTTCCCAACCAAAGCACAACGCCAAGGGCGGTGCAGCTACAGCCTCGGGTGCCCAGACACCAGCTACAAACGCCGCAGGTGCTTGCGGCCACCAGCGACTCTGCTGCCGAAAGCAAGGACCTGAGCCCAGAAAGAGTTTGAGAGGCGACTTTGAAGGAGTCCGAGTTGCAGTTGATGGTAGAGAAAAATGCTGCAAAGACGAAGGCGCGACGTCAACCGACAGAAACTCGCCAGGAGACAGATCGTCGTCTGCTCAGAGAACAGGCAGAGACGATTAATGTCCGCAAGTGGCTTCCCCAAAGAGCTCATGGACCACATACTTGATCTCGTTCAGGCCGAGGGCCGGTTTCGCCTCCTCGAACGTCTCGGCAGAACACAGCACCAGCGCAAGATGCCCCCAGAGAAGACATGGTCATTCGCCTTTGGGCACTGCAGCAAACACTTTCTTCCGTGGGCTTTCCCCAGGAACGCGTTCAGGCTGTCACACAGCACATTCTTGATATATCGCCCAACATCCCTGCCACAGCGAAGGACAGCATATGGGGTCTCGAAGAAGCCATGGAGTGGCTTGCCCGAGAGTTGACCGCCGATGAGTTGCCTGATTACGAGGGTCGCGGCAAACCTAGCCTGAAGCCTACAGGTGGGCTCTGTCCTACCTGAACCCGGTGTATGTAGGATTGACTGCTGACCAGAATAGAAACACCGGCCGACAGCCCGCTCACGTCAGGCACTACAACTCCGGGCTACTCCGAAGCTCCTTTCCGTCAAACTAAAGGAAAACACGGAGCGCAAGCGCAGGCTCAAATACCTAGCAAAAAGGCTGCCATCACATGTGACAGCGATATAGAACCGGATGATTTAATCCCTGTATATATCGAAACCAAGTCAAAGCTCTTTTCAGCAGAGCGGGCACACCAAGAGAGCAAGCGACAGAAGCCCTTCGTGCCCACAGACGAAGGAGTCATCCCGAGGCTGCAGGCGAAGCTGGAAAGGATCGAAAAGGATGTACTTTTCGACAAATATCCCGCTGAGCAGCAGTGGAAGGCTAGAAAGATGGCGCTGGAAAAAGAACTCGCTGCAATGAGAAGACAGAAAGCCCAGGACGCAACCTCGGAGGCTACAGAGACAAGTCCCGAGCCAACTGAAGAGCCTCTCACCGGAGATGTCAATGATGAAGCTGAACGCATGGCCGCAGAGATCCTAGCGGAAGGTGCAGGCGACGACGATGACGATGCACTGGCAGGTCTGTTCGACAGCCTACCAACCAACGAAGTGGACGCGGACACTGGCAAAACGAATACAGTTGTCAATGGCCCCGACGGAGTCAAGGTCACGATTCGGTCATTCGGAACATGGACAGGCGTGAGCCCGATGAGGGCGTTGGAGGAAGCCTGCCGCGCCCGGGACTCATCCGTCAAACTCCACTACGGTCTCATCTCGGAAGTACCATTTGCCAACCGCCACATGCTGAACATCAGTTGGAGCAAGACCCAGGCCATACCGCCTGCATCCTCAGACGACACGGTGCATGTTTCTGCTTACGCCAAAGCCTTCACCTATAGCATGAGGTCTGTGGCAGCTCCCGACAAGAAGCAGTCTGAAGCTTTCATCGCCACGTGGGCCCTATACCATATTTTTGGCCCCTCGCAAAAGGAAGAAAAGGTTGGACTACGTCTGCCTCCTGTCTGGAAAGAGCTCTGGGCCGAGCTTGCCGAAGCACGTAAGAGCTCCTTAGACGCCAAGGACCGAGAAGAAATCAGAATGCTTCGTGCCATGGTACGACAGAGACAAGATCAAGAACTCGAGGACGGTGTGATACTTCCCTCTGCCTTTCGTGGACGCGGAGCGGCGCGAAACGCCGGGGAATTGACCGAGGGGGCCTCGGATCCAGCGAAAAGGAATTTCGGAGGGCCTGAATATTTCCAACAAATATGGGCTAAAAAGTCCAGTACACCTCGCTATCAAACTATGCTGCAATCTCGAATGCAGCTCCCTATGTGGCAATTTCGTCAGCAAGTCGTGGATACAGTTGACCGTGAGCAAGTTGTCATCATCTGTGGTGAAACGGGTTGCGGCAAGAGCACACAAGTTCCCTCATTCCTGTTGGAGCACCAGCTGGCGCAAGGCAAGCCATGCAAGATATATTGTACCGAACCGCGCCGCATATCTGCGATATCGCTCGCACGTCGTGTGAGCGAGGAGCTCGGAGAGGGCCGGGGTGATATTGGCACGCCAAGATCGCTCGTAGGCTATTCTATTCGCCTTGAAGCCAACACATCCAAGGAGACGAGGCTGGTGTTCGCCACGACGGGCATCGTTATGCGCATGCTTGAGGGCTCGAACGATCTTCGAGAAGTGACGCATTTGGTACTTGACGAGGTGCACGAAAGATCCATTGACAGCGACTTTCTTCTTATCGTGTTGAAAAAGCTCATGCTCCGACGAAAGGACTTGAAGGTAGTTCTCATGTCTGCTACGGTGGATGCCGAACGCTTTTCCAACTACCTCGGGAACGCCCCTGTTTTGACAGTTCCCGGTCGGACATTCCCTGTGCAGGTTCGCTACCTGGAAGATGCCATTGAACTCACAGGTTTTAGCACTGGTCAGGCGAGCCAGGAGAAGATGGTTGATCTCGATGATGACGTGGAAACGGAAACGGAAGGTCCAAAGACGACTGTGGGGAGCGAATTGGCAAAGTATTCTGCCAAGACAAGAAACACGCTGGCTCAGATGGACGAATATCGGATCGACTTCGACCTTATCGTCCAGCTCATTGCCAAGATCGCGGCCGATCCGTCGTACTCGCAATTCAGTAAGGCAATCTTGGTCTTCTTGCCAGGTATTGCCGAGATCAGGACAATCAACGACATGCTCCTTGGGGATCCTTCGTTTGCAAAAGACTGGCTCATATATCCTCTCCACTCCAGTATCGCAACAGAAGACCAAGAGGCTGCCTTCCTTGTCCCCCCGCCGGGCATCAGGAAGGTCGTCTTGGCTACAAACATCGCGGAGACAGGAATCACTATCCCGGATGTGACTTGCGTCATCGACACTGGGAAACATCGCGAGATGAGATTCGACGAGAGGCGGCAGCTCTCCCGTCTCATCGATACGTTCATCTCGCGCGCGAATGCCAAACAGCGAAGGGGCCGTGCCGGTCGTGTCCAAGAAGGCCTGTGTTTCCATATGTTTACCAAGCATCGACACGACGCGCTCATCAGCGACCAACAGACCCCTGAGATGCTCCGCTTGTCCCTGCAGGACTTGGCGATTCGTGTCAAAATTTGCAAGATTGGAGGTATCGAAGAGACCCTGAGTGAGGCTCTGGATGCGCCTTCCGCAAAGAATATTCGACGTGCTGTCGACGCCTTGATCGATGTTCGAGCGCTGACCAATGCTGAAGAGCTGACGCCCCTGGGTCATCAACTCGCCAGGCTTCCTCTAGACGTGTTTCTTGGGAAACTCATTTTGTTAGGCACCGTGTTCAAGTGTCTGGATATGGCCATCACGGTTGCCGCTATATTGTCATCCAAATCCCCCTTCTCCGCTCCGTTCGGACAACGAGCGCAAGCTGACATGGTACGCATGGGCTTCCGACGTGGTGACTCCGATCTCTTGACTATTTACAATGCGTACCTGGCTTGGAGGCGAGTTTGTCAAACAACAAGTGCTTCTGGCGGAAAGGAGTTTCAATTCTGCCGCAAGAACTTCCTCAGCCAACAGACACTTGCCAATATTGAGGACCTTAAGGGCCAGCTCATGGTCTCTCTTGTGGACTCGGGATTCCTGTCCTTAACCGATGACGAGCGACGCGCACTGAACCGTCTGCGATACTCAAACAACTCACGCCGGCGTCATCAGCAGTTTTTTGAGATTCCACAACGCGTCAACCTCAACAGTGAGAACGATGCAATCACTACAGCTGTCATTGCTTGGAGCTTCTACCCCAAACTCCTCGTGCGCGACACGCCTGGTAGTCGCGGTTTGCGGAACGTGGGGAACAACCAGTCCATCAGCTTGCATCCCTCATCGGTCAATAAGGGTCACAACGAGATCAGGTGGCTGTCCTACTACCACATTATGCAGTCCAAGGCGTGAGTACTGTAGTCCTTCCAGACCATTTTGCAGTAGCTGATTCTCTTTCCTCCAGTGTCTACCACGCGCACGAGACATCGGCAGCCGACGCCTTTGCTATCGCCCTGCTTTGTGGAGATGTCAAGGCGGACGTAAGTTGCTCCTTCTCCACGCCATTCTAGCGGCTGGCTGGCCTTATGTACTGTGGAAGAATCTGCTGACACTGACCCAGATGTTCGCGGGCGTCCTGGTCTTGGACGGGAATCGCGCAAGATTCGCGCTGCCGGACTGGAAGACAATGCTAGTACTCAAGGTTCTGCGCACCCGGCTCAGGGAGGTGCTCACTCGTGCATTCAAACAGCCGGGCAAATTGCCCACGGCTCAACAGGAGCGCTGGCTCGAGGTGTGGCAGAAAATCTTCTCGCAGGACGCCCACAAAGAAAATGGATCGACGGCGGTCACCAAGGCCTAGAACCTTCTTCCGGGCTCAATGAAAGTAAAAAAGCAGATCCCCTGTAATTTGGCAATGAATGTACTGATGCCGCGGTCCTGTGAAGTTTCTTGTATATACCCATGCTGGGTCTGAGTGATCGGCGTGTCAGTTGTGTCGCATACTAGCCGAAAGATCGAGGTCAAGATGGCAGATCACACACGACACGGCAAATTGAGGTAAAAGCATAAGAATTGAAACTCGTTCTCGAGTTCTTTGAAAAGAGACCGGAAAAGTCCGGGCCTCTGGAAGGGAAGAGGGCCGTCAGCGTGTTTCCCCCTCCCCTCTCAGTGATGGATTCGAGTTATTGATACATGAAGGCAGCTTCCCCTCCCCCCTTTCTGCCTGTTCCTTCCATCTCCTCCTCGGAGGTTGACAAGACCTCTCGACATGAAATATTGTCGAACATGAAAAGAGGATAAACGCCGTATTAGATGCTCACTATTCTTTCGTGGCCCTTTCACTCTTTCTTCTTGGCGTCCTCATCTTCCTTTCCATTGGTCGTCGAGGAGATGCTGCCTCCGCCCAGGAACATGGCTTTAAACTCAGCGTTGCTCTTCATCGGCTTTGGCGGCGCGTCTCCTTTTTCCGTCGGCGGTGCAGACACAGCGGCGCCGTTCGCCTTAATCGGCGCGGCTCCCTTGCTCGCCACGAATCCGAGACCGCGCTTTGCGCCGCCCTTGCCGAGGACGGGCCGTCTGACGGTCGATGGCGCGAACGAGGGCTTACGGCTACCCGCGGACGCCTTGGCGAAGTCCTTTTTGGCGCCGCCGCCACCGTAGACAATCTTGTCCGTCCGCATCTCGCCCTTGGCGTGCCGAAGCTCGTCGACGGAGCCGGTCCGGAGTTTTCGGCCGTCGAGAAGGTATCCGTCTAGCTGCATCGCGGCGCGTCCCGCGCTCGCTGCGTCTTCAAACTCAACACTCGCGCCGCCGTGGCTCGGCTGCAGAACAAGACCTGTGAAGCCGGCGATCTTGCCGACAATTTCCTTGACGCGTGCATCGTTTACCGTATCAGGGATGTCGAGCAGGGCAATGCTCCGCGCGGCGACTTCCTCCCGCGCTTGCGACTTTGATGAGTCGCCGTTCGCGTCTTCCATCGTCTCGTCACCCCCATGGTCACGACTCGGCACCGGTGAGGCCGAGTTGCGCTCACCAGACACGGCGGCGGCGCGCTTGTAAATGACGGGTGTTGACAGTGCGACGGTCATGATCGAAGTGCGGAACTTGGTGCTGTTTAATTCCGCGACGGCCTTGTTGGCCTGCTCCTTGGACGCGAGCTCGATATAGGCAGTGCCGTAACCTTTGCCTCCCTTGTTGCGCGGTATGCTCACCCGTTGAACGGGGCCGATCTTGGAGAAGACCTCTTTGAGTTCGTCTTCGGTGACAACTGTATCCAGATTGGTAACGTGAAGCTCGCGACCCTCGTCCACTGCTCCGTCGCGCTTTTTGGCACGAGACGGATCAGAGAACATGGCTGTAAGTTTATACTCGCCGTCCAAGAGCTTGCCGTGTTTCTGCGTGGCTTTTGTCGAGGCCTCCCGCGTCCTGAAGGTAACATAGCTGAAGCGCCTACGCACATTGCCCTTCAGGCTGGGCATGCGGACGCTGATTATGTCGCCACAGTCTTTAAACAGGTTGCGTAGGTAATCGGGGCCCGCCGTCGGAGGATAATTGGTGACAAAGACGGTCAGGTCGGTGCCGGGCTCGACTCCAATCTGAGCCTCGCCAAAGTACTTTCCATCGCGCAGCAGCGCCGACTGAGCCTCTTCGGGTGACCTGAATTCAATCACGACAACTTGTGACTCGCCATCCTTGTCGGCGACAGTCTGCAAGCTGTTGATGTGTCCGTAGTCTTTGAAGTATTGCCGGATCTTGGTCTGCGTGACGCTGGCTGGGATGTTGGTGACAAGGACAGATGTGTTTTCGCGGTCCCTTTTGAGACTCTGCTGCGTTGAAGCAGAGTCGGCCTCGTTTCCATGATTTCGTTGACGCTTATTGGATCCCTCACCCAGAAGCTCTTCCTCGTCTGCCTGCTCGTCTCCGCGCTTCCGCTTGGGAGCCCGAGGGTGACTGCTGATCCGCTTCCTCTGCCGCATGCGCTGCCTGTTGTTGCTGGAGCTGGGCGGCATAGAGCTCTGCCGCCTGAGCAGCCTCGAGCTCACGACGTCGGGCGGTTTCTTTTCGAAGCTCAGTCACGCTGTCGGTCGCGTCTCTCACGGTGCTGGGAAGTTTATAGTCGTTGCAGTGCTGGAGGTAAACATCCATATAGCTTTCGGACCAGTCCAGCGTCTTACGCTTGAACGCGCGACCCAGTACAGCTGTGGCTACAGAAGGGACCCGTAGGCCCACGGCAGCGGTAGAAGGCGTTGGGCTGCGGTCCTTTCCATTAGAGGCGAACACCATCATCTCCCATAGATAGTAGTTGAGCCAAAAGTCGTAGCTATCTGCGTAGAGCGACTTTTCCGCAAGCTTGTGCCGATGCGTCCTCGCGTCATCTGGCGAACGTTTCTTTTCTGTGAGATACTGGATGTAAATGCGTTCGAGGCGGAAGGCGGGATCGCCGCGGTACTCATCTCCGTAGCGATTCTTGGCTTGGTCGACAAACTCGATGGCAGCCTGCAGGCCCATGTCGGCAATGTCGACGGCCTCGTCGGAAGCGTTTAGATCCATGGCAGTGCGCTTCAGGAAGCCACACCAGCCAGCGTACATGTCGAGGAGAGCGGTCATCCCATTCTTGTAGAGGTCGGGGTGGCTCGTAGCCTTGTGCTTGATCTGTTCAATGTCATGGAAAGGAAGCCTGGCCTCCTCGGCGCTAAGGATGTAACGAGACCACAGCGCCCCCGACCACGGACAATGATCGACAGCGCGGCGAATGACGTCTAGCATGGCGTATGGGGATTGCGCAAAGGTCCCCGAGGTTGAGAGGAACCGAATGTACTCCATCCATACGTATTCATCGAACGCAAAGACGCCAGTCAAAGCGCGTGAGTAAAGACCGCGACACAGGTCGCCCGTCGTCTCCATGGTCTTGCTGCTCCTCTTGCTCTGCGAAATCTCCCAGTCTAGATACTCCTTCAACAGGGTCTTGTACTCCTCATCGGCACCGTCGCGGGCGGCCTTGCGTAGCTTGGACTCGAAGATTTCGCGATCTTCGACGAGTTGCTTGGCTTCTTGAGACTTGGCCGTGACAGCCTGCATCGTGTCCTCCCAGGCGGATTTGTTATATGTGGAGAGGAAGGTGGAAAAGTCCTGCGCAGTCTGGTCGCGTGTGACGTGGGGTATTTGCAGACGGTCGGAGTAGAGGTGGGTGATACGTCTAACACCCTCAGCTGTCCTCGTGCGGTCGAGTAGGCCGCGCTCGAGAGAGATCCAGCGATCCCACAGCTCGTGGCTGTCGCTGATGCGGTACTGAATAGCTTCATAGCCTTGTTGCCAGAGGCTGAGGGGCGTCATTCAGAGAAAAGATGTCGCGACTCATGTGCTGCTCCTCCTCCGACCAGCCGGTTTTCGCCGGACTGGCAGTCGACATAGAGCGACCAAAAGTGATCGCAATAGGCGCGCCAGATTTTGAGACTGCTGGGTTCGGCATCGACGGCGAGCTTAAAGAGCTCGACAACGTGAACGTGTTTTTCAAGGTCATTCGCCTGGCGGCTATGCTCGGCGACGTAGTCCACCCAGCGGTCTTCGCCGACGGGGAGGGGCGGCGCCATGCTGACGGTTGTGTCGCGCCGACAAGGGGCGGAGCATGGATGGAACGCAGGCGTCGAGCACGCTGTCGCGAGAAGAGGTTGCGATTTGATGGGGGCACAGCGTCTCAAGTAGTCGAAGCAAGCTAGAGCTGGGATGCTCAAGTCGCAGGTCCGGTTGTCGAGATTAGGGTACGAGAACACGCCAGGATTCGGAGGGCGAAATGTCCAGCGGAAAGAGATGGTTGGAGGGTCCCGATTCGCGACTTGTCAAGAGATTCGTGTATTGGGCGCTCGGAGACTGTTGGGACGAGTCGCGAAACATGAAATAGTAAACCTGGTGCCTGATGAGGGTCGCGGGCAAGTCAGGTTGTCGGACAGCAACCAGAGAGAGAGAAATGGCCAGGGGAAAGAAGGACGATTGACAGCGCAAGCCGACTGATTGGCAGTAAGTGGCAGGCTGACAAGGCTGGGTCGTGAGTGGTGAAGGGTTGAGCACCCGATGCCTGTGGATAAGGGGATGGTCTAGAGGCAGGCAGATTTTCCAACCCGTGTTTCTGAGGTGAGGTAGTTACAACTGTCTTGGTTTCTGATTGCCTGCCATGACCTGAAATCCCAGGTACCGGAGGCCACCCACGTACCTGCCTACCTGGTACCTACCTTACCTGCCTAGAGGTAACAATGGGCAGGCACTGTCAGAGGGACCTCCCTCTGGTGGGTTCTTTAGTGGGTCGGCCCTCTGTGCCGGCGCCGCCTGCTCTACTACCTCCCTGGAGGTGCCTTGCTTTGGAGGATGCGTTTAACCAGTCAGATCAACCGCTCGGGTGCAGTACCTTCCTTAGTCATCCACGCCGGCCGCGAAGGAGCAACCCATCTGAAGCAGCATGAATCGTCAGGTTCGACTCTTCGTTGCCCACATGAGGCCAAACATGACAGGAATGCCTAGTACGGCACAGAACATGACGCATCCCCTCTCTGATTCACAATCACCCCATCCCATCATGCCCGTCTCTGCCTTGAACGGCTGGGGCCCAGATAACGCCGCGGGACTGCATTTGCTGACCTTGACTGGCCGAGAAGCCCATTTGTCGCCATGGAGCCTGTCACTATGATGCTCTATGGTATCATCGCAGACGCTTCGACGACCCAGCAGACGCGGAATGCGATCTGCTGAATCATCTCGAACGCTGTGATGACTCTCGGGTCCAGACAGACGTGATTCCTGTGATTTGCACCTCGAGTTGAGCTTCATTCCACTGATCATCGCTGAGAATACGGTGGCCTCCCGGAGTCAACTCCGTGGCACCGATGTCCCTGGATTGGAGCATCCAATGGTTTACCACCACTACATGCTCTCCCTTCTGCAGCTGCACCTGGCCCCCGTAAGCCTGTACGAAGGTAGCTGAAGAACACGACGCGCCCCCGCAGAAGTCCGCGGACCATGCGGTGATCAAGAAACGAGGGGGTCCCGAAGCCCTGTTTTTGACCCCTTTCGTTCTCATTGCCGACAATCAGCTGCCATTTTTCGTTGGTGTTGCCCCTTTTGTCTCCCTGAAACAGTTAATTGCCAAGGATGGCAACCATCAGCTTTCTTATGCTCGTCTAACACATGTCACAAGAACGACGATTCAGAGCAATGACTTGTCGAACGTGATGCGTGCGCTAAATTGTCCTGTAACGGGCGCGATGTCCCAGCCAATCGACGTCAGGGAGCCGCCCCCCCCCCGTCTTGGGCTTCCCGGAGGCATGAACGATAAACGAAATGAGGTTGCCATGCAGCCGTGTTCCCGTCCGCTGTTACTAGAACTCCCGGTTCGGATTGATTAGATCAGGTTTGGCGCACTCCCAGACTGTTCAGGCTGCTGGGGGGCTTGGCCAGCCAGTGCTAGTCTGATCCGAGGGACGACCCTGGCGCAGATCCCACGGTGTCCCTTGTAAGCTTCACCCTCACATCCCCCCCTCGACGGCCGCCCTGCTCCTCAGGCATCGGAGAATCGTCTGGCGGCCGGCCATCGCATAGCCCTGGGGCTCTCGTGCCTGCCGAGAAGTGGTACGTTTGCCAACGAGCCGGTCAATGTTCAGGCTCCCATCATCAGACGAGAAGAGTGCTCTTTGCGTGCCCATACGCCACGGTATGCTTAGACCGCTTCTTGATCCCACAAATGTCATTGCTTGGTCCGAACATGGCCAGAGAGCAGAGCACGCGCGCACACAGCCTCCCCTGACTGCCTGGCATGGCATGTCCGCCCGTCAGAGATGCTCGTCAGGCCCGGGGCTGAGGGGCCCTGGGCTGAGGGGCCCTTGACCAGGCAAACCGTCAAACGTTTGATCGCCTGGACGGGACGATGATGTGGCTGGCTCGTATGGTCGGCTTGTCCGCTCTGGGACATACATCCTACTGCATTTATCCGTTGCGCTGAAAATGCTGTACCGCATCGACTGTCTGCTGAGCGCGAATTCAACGAGCAGCAACCCCTCATTGCCGGCTGTCCGAATGACATGGCTTGACTTGACTGACGACGATCAGTGACGGGCTCGGTCTCGCTCGCCCCTTCCGCATTTCCTTCCACGGACGTCAATCGAATGCCAGCCACGCCTTCTCCCCGCCCTCCTTCAAGTCACCAATTGCGCAGCGCCGGTTGTCCCTTTCCACCCCGTTCCCCCTCCCCCTTTGGTAGAGGTGGCCCTCGTCGACCAACCACTTGACCCTGGTTCGATCTGGATCGGAAGGAGCTAGTAACTAATCTGGCAGGAAGGCACATAAGGGTCCGGGGTAGGGACAGGGCACCAACACCAGGCAGGTAGGAGGTCTGGCAATTGCCTGGTATTAATTGCGCTGCCGATGTGCTACGTGATAGAAGCAAGGACTTAATGCGTGACAATGGGCACTGGCCATGACAGCGGACGGAAGGGAGAGAACGTCCTGGGATCCTTCCCAATCGGTGTCCCCATTCCAAGCCTCCGCGCCTGACCGTCGACTATCATCCATGTTGTCCCACCCCTCTCTCGTCCGGGGCTCGTGCCATTGAAAACCTCCCTGCCTCCCGCTTATCGTCGCGGCCCTCATTCCATCCCTCGCCCAGCCCGAGACTCAATTTTCTTCGCATCGTGTCGGAATTCTCGTCAGTTCTTCAAGTTTTCGTGTCCTCCTACCTTCACTTCTTCGACGCTCGGTCCGTCTCCTTCTTCAGGTGCTTCTTTTTCGAGTGTGGCCTGCATTATACCTACGACGACTTACACCATCCGCGTGACATACGCACACTCGCCTGGCCTAACCACCTACGTTGGGGCACACCAGTATATACGCCATATATTCCGAGTGACAGTTCCTGTCGCGCCTGTCTAATCCAGACGTTCCCGGCCATTGAAGCTGGACTAGAACACTCGGCTACCAAAGTTGTACAAAGCGCACTTTCATCTACCGCTACCTCGTCCCGCAATACATCACGTAGAAGCGCGGTATAACCTGTCACTCGACTCTCAAATCCTCGACCAACGGAGCCAGATAATTTCCAACCGCTGTGCACTATGCACAAGTGTACAGCCGTGTAACAACTCCCGACACGCGTAACGCCGAAGAGCCCTAACGGCTGCCCAGCGACTAAGTTGGAAGTTTATACGGAAACTCGTTTTCTGGCCTCACATCTAAGGGCAATTCCCTCTCAATCTCCGCAATGCGTTCGCATACTGCTACGGCGCTTGCTGGTCTAGTATTGCTGGCTGCTTCGGCTAGCGGACAAGACCTTGCGTCTTTGCCCCCTTGTGGTGTAAGTGATTCTTAAAGCCTGTCTCCTGAGGTATACTCCCGCATCTTCTGAAATCAAAATACTGACGCAGTCTTACTATAGCAAACCTGCGTCAATAGTGTGATTGCAAGTGGCCTCTCTTGTGACTCGGGCGATACAAAATGTCTATGCGCCAATGACAACTTCAAATTTGGCCTCAACGACTGCGGAAAGCAAGCATGTGACGAGGCCGTCGCGCAACAACTTGTTGCGTATGCAGAGTCGCTCTGTGCAGGTGAGAATCGCCCGGGATGCAGCTCCAAATCTCAAGGTTAACAGCATCCAGCAGCACCTCCTGAGCAGACGACAGCGACTACTGCAGCTCCTGAGACTACGCCGTCTGCCCCAGCTGAGCAACCATTGACTTCAGCCACAGCCACGCCATCGCCATCTACAACCCCCGAGGCTGTCACCTCATTGACTACCACTCAACAGCAATCGCCCACTCCATCAACCGAAGAGCAAACAGTAGAAGGAACAGCGATAGCCTCTTCAGCGGCGACCTCAACGTCGTCTTTCAGTAGTGCCTCTGCAATCACTGAGGCGCCGACGACGCCGGTACGTCTCAACGTTTCAACACCTATGTTACTTCTCATGTCTATCTACTGACCTGCTTCATAATAGGTGCAAAGTTCAACCCTCATTGTTGCCTCGCCCTCTGCTAAGAAGGTGACTTCGGATTCACAAACATCGTCTTCAGAGCCGCCCGCTGTACCAACCAGCGCCAGTGGAGATGGTGAGAAATCAAGTAATGCTAGTGGTGTCGCAGACAATGAAGATGAAAGCACAGAACCAGCAGCTGCAAGCGCTCTTTCGACCACAGCGAAAATTGGAATAGCCGTTGGTGCAGGTGTGGGAGGTCTGGGTATTCTGTTAACTGTTTTCTTGATACTGCGACGACGACCAAGCAAGCGTGCTCTTCAGATTTCCGACCCAATGCCTGGCTCTGGACGAGACTATTCCGGTGGCATTCAATACATATCCGAGAAGAATCACTCGGAGCTCGAGATGAATTCGAGGAGGTATGAGGACATGGTTCCTCGTCAGACGCCCCGTCATATGATTTAGCGACGAGATTGTCGTACGGCGATTGATACTTGCAATGTTCTCTTGGGTCGCCTCCCAGCATCCTCAAGAAGAAGATATCACAACCCGACCTTGCCGTATATACATGGGATGGCCGGTGTTGCAGTGTGGCGATGTGGTCGATATAGGCAGTACACATTGTTAGCTATGATAATGAATTACGATACTGATTCCCATCAAAAATGTGTCTTCGCGGACAGGTGAAGGTTTTTAGCAATTGTGGGTGACTTTTGTTCGCAATCGCCATGGCTGGAAAGGGGAGGTCAGGCTCACTTGTTGACAAAGCCAGAGAGAGCGTTGATGAGAGTCGCTGATCGATATCCTTTCTCAAGTACATATTTTTTACAAATCAGAGATATTACATGGCCAACCAAACCCATTGGTCGTTGGAATCTGTGCCGCTAGGCAGTTCTCACCCTTATCGCGACCTACCACGAGTAGTAAGGCCTCTGAGCCGTCACGGGCCTGTTAGGAAGATGGACCCAAGGCTTGCGCTTGCCTCTTTAGCCACCCTCTCGTTGTGTTCACGTATCCTTGTCTTCTCCTCCTTCAGAACGACCGAAATGCCTGTGGGTCCAACCGTCAATTTCAATGCTTCTGCGCCAAGAGATTGCAGGGCAAGCCCACAAGGGACCAAGTGTCAAAAAGAGATGAGATAAAACGTACCTGTTGACGGGCTGATAATGACACCTGTCCTGCCTCGGCCCTTGAACTCGATGCGACGGTTGCGAGACGGGCCCTTGTTCACCCACGCCTCGGCGACGTACAAGCTCGAAGGGTCCGTAATCTTGAGCGACTGGCCGTCCTTTGTCTTGATCTTGATGACAGCAGCATCTTTGTCTTCGGCGGAGGCGACACCAGCCTTGCCGAGACCCATGCCACGGCTCACCACGGCAAAGTCGCGGGCCTCTTCGAGCTGGAACTTGACCTCGCGGGCCATCTTCTTCTTCGAGTAGGTCATCTGGGTGAGAGCGTCCTGGAGCGTCTTGCCCTGGATCTGGCGGGCGAGCATGACGAGCTTCTTGGTCGACGTCTCGAGGAAGGGGGACTTGTGGGTCATCTGGCGCTCGGTCTGGCGGATGCGTTCGACACGTCGCGCATAGTCAGAGGGCTCGGACGACGCTGTCTGGCGCTGGACCATCTGGATGACCCTCTTGCGCTCCCAGCGGACGCGGGAACGGGGGTCCGGATCGAGGCGCCAGGCGGCGGCCTCGGCGGGGGTGGCCTGACGGGCGCCGTCGGGGACGTCGGTGCGCGTGGCGAGCGAGTCGGAGGTCGCGGCCTCGACTTCATCCTGGAAGATCGAGTCGGAGAGGGCGGGGGCCTTGGTCTGCTGCTGCTCAGCCAGGAGGCGCTGGCGAACTTTAGGGTCGTCGAGGTCGTGGCCGCCCGAGGAGCGGTTGCCGGGGTCGGAGGCCTTGCGGCCGCGGCCGAAGAGGCTAGGGAGAGACCATTTGGTGCGGCGCTGGTTCAGAGGAAGGAGGCGTTGGGACGAAGGGGCGCCGGTGGCCAGCGAGGATAGCGTTGAGTGCGCTGGTGCAAAGGAGTCGTTAGCGAAGCTGCAGCCAGTGGTGATGGATGGGGTCGTATGCAAGGCGAAAATGGACAGTCGAACTCACCAGATAGAGCTATCCTCCTGCTCGGGAGATGGGCACTCATGCTGGGCGACGTTGGCTGTTCGGAGGGGGTGCGATCCGCGACAGCTTCAATTGCTTGATACCAATGGAGAAAAAATGGAATAACAAGCTGCAACGCTGCACCTTCGCGTCGACCCAGGCACGGAGGTGGAAGGTTGCACGGGGCAATAGGCGCCGAGGTTTATCCGCCGACTGTCCTTGGTGGTGGTGGTAATGTGTCTGGCCTGATTGACCGAGCGTCCGGGAATTGATCGATCACGTGAGTCGGTTTCTCAGCGCGAATATCGTCAGGCCATTTTCGAGAGCTTGCCGGCTTCAATCAGCACCACCCGACGCCCGATCATCTCGACTGCACGCAATCGCCGCTCCTTCTACGAATCCTACCAACACCTCACGAACTTCAATCACAATGGCTGGCGCTGTTGCTTTCAAGCCCATCACGGGCGTACGTCTCCCCTCGTGAATTGGCGACGCCGGATAGATGCGGAATGGGAACTGACTGGACTTGAAGATGCTGCGACGAAACCTCGTCCTCGACCTCGGCATCGGCCTCGGTGAGTGACAGATCCTGCCAATTGGGTTCGCTCGCCTCCTCAGGACAGTCTTCCGCTGCTCTTAAGCGACCGTGGGCTGTCTGTGGGGTGTCGGCGGTAGCCTCGTCCCGCAACGTTATGACTGACTTTGGATACGATAGGTCTCGGCTTCGCCATGGCCAACGCCTACTGGTACGATATCCCTTCCCCGCCCTGAGCAACGAACGGCAAGGAACGAACGAACGCAAACCACGAACAATCGACCATTTTGCAGCTGTGCAATTGAACAGAACGATAGACTAACCAATGCACGTTACAACAGGTACGGCTACCACATGCCTCGCACCCACGCTCGCGACAACTACTACTCCAAGCTCGAGCAGCAGAAGGCCGAGAAGCGCGGTGCCCAGGCATAGAGAATGGATTGAGGAAACAGGATGGCGGATGAACAGAGAGAGATGAGGATTGCGTCGCTGTGGCATTTAGACAAGTCGCGGGTCTGACGACCTTGTATCATAACCTGCCAGCAATACAAGCTTGAGGACCCCCTACTTTTTGTTTCGTTATCGACCCTCTGACGCCTCGCGAGGAGTCTGGGTCCCAGTTGTGGTCATTGGGGACAGGGCTGTGTGACGGAATTGTGTGTACCATGATGTGATGCGGAAATGCAGTGCCCGATGCGACCAGGAAGACACACAGGGATACTTTTACAAAGGCTCAAGGAGAAATTTCAAGGGTTATCATCTTGATAAAAAAGAATACATAATCTTGTCAGCAACGCTGGTCCCGGATGCTGATGTGAAGACGTCGCGCTGCTGCCGGCCTCTTTTGCCGCCCCATTGGTGCCTTCCCACGCCGTCGTCTCGACAGAGAATGACCCCTTCTTGTCCTTACACCTACACATCAGACTGTCAATCCATGCAACCACCGCCCGGCAGAGCAAGCAATCAAGGCATCACATACTCTCGAAAAAAGCGATTGACCGCCCAGCACCGTACAGGACTGTTGGGTGTCTGTGGCTGCTCAATCTCGCAATGATACTGGGCTAAGCTGCGCAGCTTGCATTTGGACAGGTCGACGTCGCCGCCGCTGCTGTCGCCATTCAGCTTTCGTTTCCGGCCCCGAACGTCGGCCTGGACGTGCGCCGGGAGCTCCGAGACTGGAAATACGTGGCACGGTGGTGACATTGCCGGTCCTTGATGGATGGTGTGTCTGCTGAGGCGCGGGCGGGAGCACGGGTTCTGGGCGAAATCGAGGAGACGTCCCTTGATGAGGTGAGAGCTTGTGTTGCTTGGGCTTAACGTTATGAACAGTGCGACCAGGTTCGAGTGCGGCTGTTTTCAAGATGGCTGGGCCGCAGCGAAAGCGAGGATTCGTTCGAGGCGGCTTGATGGGGGCGGAGTGCGTGACACAGGGAGGATGAGCCAAGTGTCGTCGGACTTAATTACAGCGTCTTCCGCCTGAGGCAGTTTTCGAGTGTCCCATTGAGACTACTAGCTAATTCATATCCCCATCGTCTAGATTCTTGCCGAACTTCGTCATGCAATTGACGCAACAAGCACGACGACAATACCGAAGCCCATTTTACACAATGTGAATAAGTCTCACAGCTCGTACCCCATCCCGGGTCTCGACGCCTTGGTGGCCCGCCAGCGACAGGCTGCTCCAGCATCACCACTGCAACTGACCGGTTGTTACCTCCATCTCATCTACGCTCTCATATCCACTCTCATCGCAGCACCTCATTTAAAGACCGTCGTCGTGATCGACCTAGAAAACCGTTTCGATGCCACACGATTAACAGTCGGCAGCGGACCGAATGACGCTGCTGATCACGACAAGCACGATATCGACACAGGCACTGATGACCCTCTGCGCCACGTGCATGTCTACCGTCCAGCACGTTCCAGCATAGAACACCTCCGAGATGTTATTGCCGCCGCCGAACACCGCATGCTGTACGGCCGTCACGACAGCAGGACCCGTGAATGGTGGGGTACCATTGTCATCGGCGCTCCCCTGGCCGCAACCACCGGCTCCTCATCCGCCGCCGGCCGGCCCAGCAGCAGTAGCGTGCAGGCCACAGCCAGCTGGCGCGGCTGGATGAGAGTCGACCGCGATGAGGTACGCGGCTTCCCCTTGGGCACCAGCGTCGGAGAGGTGTTGGCAGATAGGGAGAGGCGGCAGGCTGCGGTGGATGAGGCGCCATGGACGGCTTCATGCGCCTGGGGGTCGATAGTCTTCCCAGAGAAGGGCGCGGCAGCAGCGAAAGATGAGCTTCCATCGCCTCGATAGGGTTTACAGCCTTCCAAGCATCACGTTCAGTCCGGTCTTTGGACCAGCATCGGTTGTGGCGAACACGCGAATGCAAGTCTAACCTTAGTCTAACCTCGGGACGAATACTTGGCCACTCGTCGATGAGGCCGCTACACATATTCACAAGGATCTATGACGGCAGATGGGTTAGGTTAGAGGTGCCAGGCAGGCAAGCAGCGATGTACCGCACTGTTAGTTGATCACTGATCACGACCCTTCCTCTCACACCAACATAAATCTCGTGGCCGAAGTCGCTAGACCGTATGTCGCCGATGGCTTCAGTTACTGGGTAGCAAAAACTAAAGTTGCATCAATAGCGTCCAGGCCTATGAATTCTCTGAACCGGGCATATCGCCGTACCATCGCCATCATCATCATCATCATCATCATCATCATCATCATGGGTCCGCCTCATCGCCGAGATCGATTCAACGCCAAGAGGCCCATCTGCCCCGATGTTTTTCACGGCGATTGCAAGAAGCCTAGCGCCCTGTGCCATTGCGGCGAAAACCCCCGTCAGACGTTCAGCGAGATGACGGTGGCGTGCGTCCCTTACTCGCCCACACCAGAGGAAACCATCAGCCGCCGACGCGCATCTGCGCTTGCGTGCTGCCTATACCAAGCTAAAGTGAAGGGTGACCAGGGGGGCATGGTCCGGACCCTAGGATCAGCACGACCTTTTTTTTTTTGCACTTGATAATGGCCTGCGAGACGAGCCAGCTCCGCCATCAGGCGCGGGAAGGGGGCAGAGAAAAAAAAAACACTAAGCGAACAATTCGTCCGTTCGGAGTGGCACAGGGCGTCACGGCCGCCGATCATAACGTGGTTTCGGCAAGTCTAGCGGAATTGTGTTGGCCTATTCCCCCCCTTCCTCCACGGTCTAGTCGCCGAGGCCGTCCATTTCGCCTTGGGGCTAGAAGGTGTATCTGCCATCTCGGTTTTGCGCGCGAATCTTGAACAGTGGTGGTGTAGGGTCGGCACTTGGGGTGAGGCTGGGTTAGGTCATGACGTCGGCACGCTTTGTTATAGTGGGGACCCGTACTTTTGAGCCTCAGGGGGTTCAACCACTGGAGCGAGAAGGGCTGCGATGCTGTGGGGGTAGCGTCAACTCACACGAATCCAGAGGAAAGGATCACTTTGGGACGGAGCAGACAAGTATTTTGATGCAATATATTGTAAAGCCAAAGTCATTCTAATGATGATGTACGCCCATGGTATCAAATGCCCGCCCAGCCAATGTACAAAAGGAAGAA